CCCCAAAACCCCAAAACCCCAAAACCCCAAAACCCCAATAAGCCAATTTTTCTAGTTTCTTTTAACATGAGATTATTATGTTTAAAATTTCATATATGATATTTTCTGATAATCTACTAAAAGAATACAAATCCAAAAGACATTCATCTCCAAAATTTGTCTTTTAACAAACCTCTAAATGTTACTGTTACTCTTTTCAGATATCTCTAGGCATCAAGGATTGGGCCAGCATTATACCTTTTATCATAATCATCCTCTAATTCATTGTCTCCGCCTCCGAGTCCTCCTCTACTTGTATTATTTGTATCATAATCCTAATTCATATCAATGTATAATGTCGTCTCATTAGTTTCAAGGTTTGGATTTCTAGTGACTTAATTCTAAGAATTTAATTAAAAGCCACTCTTTGTATAATCATTGAGGTATTTAAGCTCATTTTGCTTTATCAATGCTTGATTATTTAATTGCAGTTAGTGGATATTTTGAGGAGGACCTAAATTTTATTAGATTTAGAGCTATGGTTATTAAAGATTAGATGGAAGATAAGCTAATTGTTAAGGTTATTATAGCAATGGGTTTGTTGATTCCAAGTATTATTTAAAACTCTAAAATGTATCTACAAGGTCTTGCTTTGAAATTGGCCTTAACAAGCTTGTGGATGGATTTTTAACTTGTGCATCAATAGTATCTGCATATCGTTCAGGACTTTCCATTAATGGTGCGTCATGGTCTATCTTGAAATCGAAAAAAGAATCTAAGCTCGGATTTCTAATCATACTACTCAGTTGCTCCTAGTTTAAACTTCTGTTTTATATATTCCTTCTACTACTTGATTTAGATATCAAATTCTTTGGTAATACCTTAGATCTCATCAGGCTGTTCCTTGAATTCAATCTGCTTACTTCGTTCTGTGGTAAACTTTATCTTACTAGTTAGGAATGAGCTCTAGGTGGGATATATACGGGCATTTGCTGGGTATTTTAATAGTAAGGCTAATCATCATAGAGTTACTCTATAATGTTGATTGAGTTATTGAGATAGCTTAGATGATCATTTGGATTAGCTAGGATAATAGGTTAGGGCTGTTGTTAAGTAAAGTATTATGGTTGCACAGCAGCATCATATGACATATTAAGATTAGTTGCGGGAGCTTATAATCTCATATTAATGGGTAAATTACTGTGGTTGTATGGAGTCAGATTTTAGTGACTATAATACCCATTTGGGTTATACAAAGGTTGTTGTCTTGATAGTATTACTGGCTGCTGAGGAATATTCATTATTAAAGGGGGTTAATTTATATAGAGTGGATTGACCTGAGAAGCCAGATGCATTTATTATTTTAACGCCTCAATATATTCTCTGCGAGCATCCTATACTATGCTCTATATGTTTTGGGACTGATTCGGTGAAAGATCATTCATCATCCCTGCTTCATGATTTACCTTATTAAACAAATGTCTCCTATTGACTTATGGGTTCTGGCTATTCCCATAATTTCAGTTATTTTAGTAACGATGATACATTTGAGAGTTATCATCGAAAGTTTAGTTAGGTTTCTGATGTCTATACTTAGAATTAATCATTCTTGTTTCAGCAGCTACTCTCTCGTCCAATCTTAATTAGTAATCTCTATTGAAATACTCTTCACTATTCATTGAATTTTACTATATCTATATCATTAATACGCACTATCACTTGAAAATTATACTTTTTAGTTTCTTGATGGGAATCCTTTATGTTTTGCAAAGAATTTTCTCAAATAAGGATCATTCTTAGGATCATAAGGCATGCCATTTTTGACCGGCTCTACAATGAACTTTGGTTGAACCAACTTAGGCCTTCTATAAAAGCATGATCTTGAGGTAAAAGTACGATTTTAAATTACTTTCATCTATGTAATCTGAATTGGCGTGATTTTAAGCATTATTTTAAGAGTTTATTGATTTTCTTATTGTTGGTAAGTTACCACCACTGCTCGTAGCTTTATTGTTAGTAATTAAATTTGAATTATTTTGTTGATTTTGCCTCCAATTTTGGAGAGCTATCAGATATTCAGAGTAACTAGGAGTTTAAATATCTTCATTGCTATTTCCTGATGAATAAGTAAAAATTCAGTATTCTTACTTGTATCGATTTGGTTTTGGCTAAGTCTGTTTAGTTTCATTTTAGTATAATAATTTACTTTTGAAAACTTTTAATTTTTATTGATTAAATTATACTTTTACAATTATAATTTTACTATTTCGAGGGGTTTTGGGGTTTTGGGGTTTTGGGG